CCACACCTGTTCCTGTCTCTGGCTGGGTGGGGTGAGCATTCTCCAGCTCCCTTTCTCCTCTACTCCCTTTTAGTAGGACCCCATTTGGGGGATGTATGTTCCCCTAAAGCACTAAGCCCACTCAGTGCTTCCTCCCAGTGTTCCCAAATATACCCTCCCAGGTCTGCCTGTCTGGGAATATCTGTGGACATGGGCTTGGGGTAACAGTCTGCAAGTCTGGGGGGCATGCAATAATGACCAGTAGGTAAATTCTTATAGGTGTATCTAAGTGCTGCAAAGGGATGAAGAGATGACCATTAATTGAGTGCCTACAAGTGCCAGGAGCTATAGACATTTTGTAGTCTTATTTAAAAAGTTAAAATTTTCTTGAGTAAAAACTATATAGCAAGATAGTGCAAAGTCTTGGCCAACAGGATGAATTCTAAAGGTAGGGCACCACAGCTTGTATCTAGGCTCTGCCACTTACTAGCTGTATGACTCTGGGTAACTTAACATCACTATGTGTAAGTTTCTTCTACTGCAAAATGGGAACGAGAAGCCAGGTGCAGTGGTGCACACATGTATCCCAACAATTTGGGAGGCTGAAGCAGGAAGACCGCAAGTTCGAGGCCAGCTTCAGCAACTTAGCAAGGTCCTCAGCAATTTAGTAAACCCCTGCCTCAAAAGAAAATAATAATAATAATAATAATAATAATAATAATAATAATATAAAGGGCTAGGGATGTAGCTCAGTAATAAAAGTGCCCTAGGTTCAATTCCCAATACCTGCCAAAATGGGAATAAGAAACTAGTTTATGGAATTTTCTTGAGGATTAGCAAATACTGACTCCATTTGTTTGTTGTTATTATTACTCTATGCAATAGACACAATTTTGGGGGCAGTGTTGTGCTTATATTTTACAAATAAGAATAGAGAAGCATAGTGAAAGTTTATAACTTGTCAAGGGAGACACAAATTGTACAAGGCAGGTGTATGTAGCTTCTTAAGAGCGTTCTATCATATACCAGAACATATCTCTATTACCAAAGTGTCCCTCAAAGAGATTTTAGGAAGGCACACAGTAAGGGCTGTTTAGGTATTTGATCAATAAATATGGTTGAAAATATTGGTCCTTCATACTAATAAACCATGTGAAGTGCAGGATGGTGGAGGAAGGTGGCTACAGGGACCCAGCGGTATAGGTCAAGCCTCCTTAAGGCTGCTGCAGGAATCTGGAGGTATGGAAAATGTCCCAGGAAAACAAAGGATTAGTCACAGGAAGCAGTGGTAAGGAGGGGGCGGGTAGAATATAAAAGAGAGAATTTCAATGGAAGCGAGAAACTGGTTATCAAGGACTTAGCTCAGAAGGCAATGAGCCAGGGCTGAGATGTCTGCAGACTGCCCTTCTGGATGAAAGAGCCAGGGCTGGGTTCCTGGATGGGAGCTGGCCTGAGGGTGGACACAGAACTGCAACAGATCACAGGGGTGCCCAAGGGGGGGAATGCAAAAGTGACTGTGAATCCTTAGGAGTCTCAACTTCCTTTAATACATTCAGCAGCAAAGTGAATTGAGTGCCACAGAAGCATTAAACCAAAAAAAGGATGGGACAGGTGTCTGGGGCCCCCACTCCTGGGAAGGAAGTATTAGGAGGTGGAGGGAATGAGCATCGCACAGTACTGGGGTATGCTGAACCTCCTTGTTTGCCTTTCTCACACTCAAGAGAGCCAGTAAGGTAGAGAATAAGACAATTGCCCAATAAAATTTAATTTTTAAGTTGCATTTCTCTGTACAATAGGAGGGGCTGAATTATCTGGAAAATAATTTCAACCCTCTAGTCATTGCTACTAGATTGTTTTGCCCTATGAGTCAATCAGAAACCTTTGATTCCAGGTGGGAGGTCCTTTCCTCCCTCAACCCTCAGTTAATTTTTGCTGGCCCTCTCCTAACTGGGTGCCAAACTCAGGATTTACAAAAGTAGCAGAAGGGAAGAACTGATTTGCCCTAGGGGAACAAAAACTTGTCTACATCAGTACCGATCAATGGCAATACTAATACACACAAATAAAAAGTCAATTATGTCCCCAATATTGCAAAAAAAAAAAAAAGTCAATTATTAAAGGAGTATTCTCATTAAGGGCATTAAGGGTATCATACTTAATTTACAAAGTTTTTCACCTCAGGATATAACTTAATTTTTATTTTCGACAACAGATTAATTTTAAATGAATATGCTCTAGTAAATCAAATTCCATATAAATTCAGTCTGGGAGTTAAGTTTATTTTTGTCGTTTTTTTATCCACCCCATCCCTACACACACACACACACACACACACACACACACACTTAGAATGGGATACAGTGGCTTAAAAATTCTTAGCACCAAGCCAAAACCGGCCTTTGACATGCCTGTGAAACCACCTAGGAAGACTTCACTTACTAAAAACAAGGTAACCTGGTTCTCCCCGGCGCAAACCGAATCTCCGCGAAAGGGGGAAGAGGGCAGGCGAGGACTTCCAATATCAGCGAGGACTATCAGGACGTCCTGCTAATAAACGACTTTTTCACTGTCCACACTATAATTGGTTTACAGCCTTTTTTGTTTATTTATCCATAAGTGCTGCTGTTAAATGGCTCGGGAAGGCGCTCGCCTAATGGCTCGGTATCGTGGCCAGGCCTCTGGGAGGCGAGGCGGCGTGCAGGGGGCACAGGCGTCAGCGGGATCCAGAGCGGAAACGCATTTCACCTGTAATGGACTTGGCGGTTTTATGGTACCAGGACCTAGATCCACAGAGAAATACATGATCTTGCTCAGTGGAGGGTTCTGCGGGATGCATTTTTCGTAAGGATGTATGTGATAACTAGTCCTGCTAGCCTTGCACTACCTAATACTAAATGGCTGAATGACCTTTGTTTCCGGCGCCTCTTTTAGGAAGCAAAAAGCAGAAAATGCCACTGGTGAAAGTGAGAAAGTGACTCGGGCGACCACCACCTTCAGCACCACCATCACCACCACCGCCCCAAATTTGTGCTCAGACCAAGGTACCCAGTTTTTTGCCACAAGCTCAGCGGGCGAATTTACTTTGTGCTGAAAGCCTCTTTCCTTTCTGCAGGGCCGAACAAAATATTAAATGGGAGCAAATGAAGCATCGAAATGGAGGCAAATTTACAGAAATGTGCAATTAGATGAGAAGTGCAAAGTAAACACTCCGAAGGACCCGGGGAGGGGGTGGGGCACAGGCTGAGTCCAAGGAGGGCGGGTGCCCAGGGGAGGAGCGGGGTGGGGTGCGGGGTTAACCAGGGGGAGGGGAAAGGTGGCCGATCTTTGTCCCGAGCAGAGCTCCCGGTCCGCTCATAACCGCGTAGCCAAGTCAACTCGGCAGATTATCTCCAAGGGTCAACACGCAGCGGCTGGGCAACCCCTGTCCCGCCCTGTCCTACTGATCGATGTGGTCACTCGGGGCCGAATGATAGCGTCAGTTCCTCCGCGGCCACTGCGAACAATGGACTCATTGACTTAGGCGCGTAGAGATTAGGTGCACAGGTCGACCACCTTTCACTCCCTGGTCTCCTGTGGCCACAGGTGGCCCTTTTCCCTGAAGAAATCGACTTAACTATGCTCGCCCTCCAGGCTTCCTTTGGCCTGCCCTTGAGAACCCCGGCATCAACAAACCTGGGGGCCGCACACGTTCCCAGGCTACTCAGTGGACTCAGCGGCTACTCAGTGGCCCGCACTCTTAGTAAAGCAAACGGCAAGACAGCACCGGTACCCCACGAGAGAAAGAATCTGAAGAGAAATCCAAATTCCCAACTGGCTTTTTTGTCTTTTAATGAAAATGAAGAGTATTCAGAACAATGCTTTCATCCCTGCGCATTTAAAACGCAAATATTTCCAGTGGGATAAAATATATTAAACCTACTCGCAAAGATCTAGTTAGGAGAGTCTGGTCTCCTATGATTTTTCTCTTGCTTGGTTGCTTGTGATTCACACCATCATTTGCAGAGGTTTTTCTGCACAGATGTACAGTTTTCCCAAAACCCTCCCTGGCGGTTGAAGGAAGGTAGGCGTTTCGGGAGGACCGGGTCAGAGATTGGCTCCACCACACAGCGCAGCGAGTCAGTATCCTTGGTCTTGCTCTGGCCGAGGGAATGCTGAAAGGTAGTCGATCCCGGCCAGTGGGTGTGAAAACGTGACTGGTTTAAGTCAGGACCTCATAGTGCCCAGAAGTTACCGAGTAAGTCGAAGCTACTCACAGATGTTGTCACGCAAATGCAGTTTTTATTTCGTTTGTAAACACCCGAGGCCTCTGCCAGCCTGCCTTATTTCAATCAGAAGGTGAGGGGGGTGTGCATTCTTTGGCCCGGGTCCGGAGATCCTGGAATGGAGAGTTGTCAAGGATCTGAGATCCTTGTGCCAACCTCTCCCTGGCCTCTCAACCATAGAGGGACCCTGCTTCCCTCTCTCTCACCACAATAGAAAGTGGCCAAATGGATCCCAATTCCTAAAATCAAAATTACTGATACCCTTCAATTAAAAAAAAAAAATCCATTCCTGATTTCTTCAAAACGGGAGCTAGGAGCCCTGGGTTAAATCAAAATAGAAACAACTGCTTTCTACCTAGAGTTGGGGTCTGCAAATTTTTTGACTGTATTCTCCAACTTTCTTAAAATATTACAATTCCAACATGCCTATTTAGGAATTATATTAATTAACTAATAATTATAGAAAATACAAGGAAAATATAAACGTTTAAAGCACGATGGAAAAGATTCCATAAATAAACAGAAGGTCTAACAATTTCATACACCCTACTCTGGAGAGGCATCCAGGCATATGCAGCAAACTCAGCTAAGAGAGAAAATTGAAATCAACGCAGGTGCTCGCGCGTGCCTAGGTCTCGCTTCTTAAGGCAGTCAGCCAGGCCAATAATGGCCCCAGGTTGAGCCACGTGGGGCACGACAGAGCCTATGGCGCTGCCTACGGGCCCGCCTGTCGCTGCGGACTGCAGGTTCCCTCTGAGAGCAGTGGAGAGCTGTCAAAGCGAGCAGGGGTAGCGCCAGGAGTGGGAGCGCCGCACAGTGTCAAGTCCCGGGCTGCAGCTGCCTTCTCGAGGCTCCTGGTCCCCAAGCACCAGCTACGACCATGAACGGCGAGGAGCAGTACTACGCAGCCACGCACCTTTACAAGGACCCTTGCGCGTTCCAAAGGGGCCCAGTGCCGGAGTTCAGCCCCAGTCCCCCAGCATGCCTGTACATGAGCCGTCAACCCCCACCGCCGCCGCCCTCCCAGTTCCCCGGCTCCCTGGGAGCACTGGAGCAGGGAAGTCCCCCGGACATCTCCCCGTACGAGGTGCCCCCCCTTGCGGAAGATCCGGCCGTGGCGCACCTCCACCACCACATCCCTGCCCAGCTCGCGCTCCCCCACCCGCCCGCTGGGCCCTACCCGGATGGAACGGAGCCGGGGACCCTGGAGGAGCCCAGTCGAGTTCAACTACCTTTCCCATGGATGAAGTCCACTAAAGCTCACGCGTGGAAAGGCCAGTGGGCAGGTAAGCCTGGCTCTTTTCCTCTTTCTCCTCTCGGTCTCTGGGCTCGCTGCCCCTACCTCAAAGAGTAAGCGCCCCCCTGGGTTGTCTCAGGGTTCCAGTCCTCAACCCCCTCGGATACTACAGGGTCGGACTAAATTATCCCAGGCCACCTGCAGAGAGGCGCTTTTAAGGTCCCTTTGGGGGCATCTTTCCCACCAGTTCTCCTCCTAGGAGCTTAAACCTATTCCTTCCCTGTGTGCTGGGCCCATCTTAGCCCCAAAAGCACCCGGTATGCGCCACCTCTAGAAAACAGAGTGTCAGCCAGGTTCAGGGCTTCGGACACTCGGGATCCTTCTCCAGCGGGCTATCTAGCAGCCAAGGACTAGCAGCACCCAGGATGTCTCTGTCCCAGACCCAAGAGCTCCTTAGTAGCTCCAGGCATCTCACTCCACCAGACCTGCACTAGAGGCTTCCTGAGAGCAACACAGACCCTCTCAGGGTCGCGAGGTACATGTATAAAGGCAGGAAAGGAAAGGAAAACTGCACCCATCTAAGCCTGAAAACTGTCCCCGCCGCCCTGGTGGAGGAAACCGGGTGGAGGTGAACAGGAAGGGTGTAGGGCAAAGCGAGGAGCTCACCGCTAGACTGAAGGCTGGCCGCTCACCCCTTCTTGGAGCCAAGCAGTTGGGAGAAGTTCTGAGATGCTAATTCGTTTTTTACTAACCAAAAACGTTTGCAAAGGTCTCCTCTCGCTGCTTCACGGGAAATTAAGTTTGCAGAGGGAATCGCGTCCTTCCTGCACAGTAGAGGGAAAAGGGAATCCTGGGTTCCCCCGGCCATAAGCGCCATCGAGTAGCAAGTTTTTCCCAGCCGGGAGGCGGAGACGCAGAGCAGCCCCCAATTCCCTTCCTCCCCGCCCAGAGCTGGAGGCGAGTTCCGGCCTGGCCTGTGCCCCCGCCGCCACACAATGTTATCGCTTCTGTGCCGCCGAAGCCACTTCTGGTAACACACCTGCACTACAAATAGTCGCTTTTTTTTTTTTTTTTTAATCTTTCAACTTGACAGTCGGGCACTGGAAAAGAAGCCCGATCTGGCAACCCCTGAGAACTCTCAACGCCCTGTTCTCGGGGTCTGACCAGGGAGCCCTACTGACATTGACCTGGGCGCGCAGCCCAGCGCAACTTTGAATAGGGCAAAGGGAGTAGGGTTCGTCCAAGACCCTATGGGCTCTCCTCTTGTTATTTCAATTTCTCGCTAAGGCAAACATCCAAACATACCAACTGGGCTGCGATCACCCCCACCTCTAGCGAAAGCCGGGCGATACTGGCACCAGATGCTGCCGAGGTGCCCATGAGAACTAATCCAGCTCTAAAGGCCCAGGATTTAGACCTTGCAACCTCAGAAAGTGCCGGATTCTTGGAAAGCAGAAAGTCCTCCCCTCAGCTTGGAGGCTCCTGGCTGGTAGTTTCTTGCCAGGGTTGTCTTTCCTCCAGGATTCCCTTACCACAGAGGGTTTCTGGACCCCTGGTCCTCGCTGCTCCTGCCCTCTTGGCCTGGACTCCCTCAGGATAAGGGTAAGACGATTTCAGAGGTGGAATAACTCCTCTTTTCTTCCCCAACTGCTGTTGTCCATCTCTGAGCTGATAGCACTTGGGCTCAGGTGAACCCAAAAGCCAGGAAGTAAAACCAGAAAAGAAATCAACAGACTTGCCTGGGAGTGAGGGACGCCTCAGGGCTAGGAAGTCCAGGTCAGAGAGGCAGTTGCTGGATGCTCTGATCCACTGTATCCTCAGACCACAGGGAAGGGGCCGACCACAGGGAAGGGACCCACCGCGACTTTATTCTCTTGTCTTGAGAGCAGCCTGCAGGGCACTGCTGAGGCCCAAGGTCCTCCAGGAAACTTTCCAAGGAGACGAACTTAAAGGGTTGGCCAACCCACCTGCTGGTGCATGGTAGTTTCAAGCCCCTGGGAAGTGCAAAGTGACCCAAAGGCTCTCATTTTAGTAGGAATATGAATACTAATGACAATAGGAACTTCTGACGACCTCGACCTAAATGAAGTGCATCTGCTGCTCTGGCTGCCCAGCTAAACCTCTTTACTAGCCCAGATCTGGGGCCCTTGACATCTTCCCACCAAGAGTCTCCATCCTCAACCTCCATCCCTTGTCACCCTGACCTGACCAACAGGTCTCCTGAGGTAATGGACCCCTGCAGCCTCTGACTGCAACTTGGCAAGGTTCTCAGCTGGAGGGGAGGGGGTGCTGGAGAGGTTGTGGGTTGAATTAAGAACCATGGATGGTCTTTTTAAAGGTCCCACTAAGTCTAACTCGGGAAGGACTGAAAGACTTAGAGCTGCCCCTCAGGGAGCAGAACTGCTCCACCAACTGGGGTCTGGGCCCCTGACCTGGCTTCTGAGGGCTCCTCTTCTCCGCCTAAGGTTCCATCTTCCGAAGCAAAATTAATCCCTCGCCCTCAACACACACATTCTCCTTCTAGATTCTTAAATGCTTCGCCATTAATTACAAGAGAAATGTCTCCTCCCTCCTTCCTAAGACAAAAGCCTCTTTCCCGAGCTTAGGTGGGGCTAATCGCGCCAGCGTCCACAACCTGAGCGCAGTTGGTTCCCAGCATAGAAGAAAAAAATTCTGACCTCAAGGAACGCAGCGGCAAACACCGTGTGTGCGGCGCTCTTTTCTCCGCCCCGCCGGCGAGTTGCTTCCTGGAGACCTCAGCCTGGAGCTGAAAGCCCTATACCCTTGTACTTTTTGTCTACACCACCACTCCCTCCCTCCGCCCTGCTTTCTTTCAGATCCACTTTTGGGCTCTGGACCCCGCACCTGCCCTCTCCGACTCCGCCCGGATTTGGGGAGCAGGGCAGAGTCTGGGACTAACAGCAACCTGCCCCACCAAACGTGACCTTCCCCAAACAGCATTCTTTTTTCACGCATCGGTGGATCAACTAAGATTAAAATACCAATTACAGAGAACTTAACCATCTCTCAAGTTGGAGAGATAACTATATGAAGAAAAAAAATCTATGATCAGATATAACAAAATATCATAACATTTTGGCCCAAGAGTTTTCAAACTGGGGTTGCATCCATTAGTTTGCTGTGAAATCAATTTACTGGGTTGAGATTAGCATTGTTTTAACGAAATAGTGAACAATGAGAAAAAAAGTACCGTACGTGGTAAAAGTTGGATTTAAGTCTTGAAATGTTTGTCAGTGATATATCCGCATGTGGACTGGATAGGGACCTCAAATAGACTTATTATGGGCCAACGTCAGAAGGTTTGTTAAGAGTAAGTCCTGTGTGAAGGCTTTTTATTGCCTTCATAGAATCCAGTCGATGGACATATCTTATTACATGCATCAATTCAAACACCGGTTAAATGAACTCATTGTAGAACCGCTCCTTGGCAGGGCCAAACGTCGGCTCACGGTGAGCGCGCAGCTTTGGCCTCCAACAAAAAGCTCCCTTGACTAGGGAAGCTGCGTGCACCCACAGTGGGCTCTGAGGTAAGGCGGTTGGGGTTCAGTAGCCCGGCACCGGCAACGCGACAGTTCCTTGGCCAGGAGCTGAAGGGGTTGGGCTGTGTGGGTGGGGGCTGGGTGGGGAGCCCGAGGCTACACTCATCGACTGTGTCGCCCACAGGAGGTGCCTACGCGGCGGAGCCCGAGGAGAACAAGCGAACGCGCACCGCCTACACGCGCGCGCAGCTGCTGGAGCTGGAGAAGGAGTTCCTATTCAACAAATACATCTCGCGGCCGCGCCGGGTGGAGTTGGCGGTAATGCTGAACTTGACCGAGAGACACATCAAGATCTGGTTCCAAAACCGCCGCATGAAGTGGAAAAAGGAGGAAGACAAGAAGCGCGGCAGCGGGACTGCGACCGCGGGTGGCGGGGGCGCGGAGCCTGAGCAGGACTGCGCTGTGACCTCGGGCGAGGAGCTTCTGGCGCTGCCACCTCCGCCACCTCCCGGGGGGGCTGTGCCACCCGCTGCCCCTTCTGTCGCCCGAGAGGGACGCCTGCCGCCCGGTCTTAGCGCGTCGCCGCAGCCCTCCAGCGTCGCGCCTCGGCGGCCGCAAGAACCCCGGTGAGAAGCAAGGGCTGCTCCCTACCCGGCGGCTTCGACCACTCGCAGAGCAGGGGGGAGGGGAGCGGGCCTAGGATCCCGCGAGTGGATAGGGACCCTGGTAGTTGGATGGGGTAGGAACTGTGGGGCCCACCCTAAACCGGAGTGGAGAACCTGTACTTCCAGGCTCCGGTGCCAGGGAGGGCGCCGCAGGGAAGATGCTGACACATCTCCTGGAAGAAGACACCTTAGTTTTTGTAATATTTGGGACCTCTGTCTATTGATGTGGTGTGATTGACGGTTTGCGCGACTGCTGCGCACATTCCCTCCGCGCCTCCAGCACTCCTTCCTAGGACCTATTTAGAGAAGCCAACTCGAAAAAAAGTACTCGAAAGTGTACAAATTGGAACGCTCCGCAATATACAGCAGGCAAGCTTGACTGGGTGCCTTAATCTGTCCAGAAACAAAACCAATCTTACTCCGACGACCACTTTTAGAAATAAAAGGAAACGTTTGAGGTTTCAAAGATCCAGTGATATTGTTGTCTATGACATAGAATGAGTCCTCTTCCTCCCTCCTCCTCCTCAAGCCAAATACCTCCTTGGCATACACCCTTCAACCTGCACCTCTTGCCCCTGAAGAAAAGAAAATTCTTTCAAGTCTGTCTGGGCAGCTGCAGGGTTGGAGCGAAAGTACAGTGCAAGCAGAGTCCCTGGGAGCCCCAGTTGGCCCTACGCAGCTGGGATACCCGCGCTGATGTCCTCGAGTGGTAAGGGAAAAGAAAGATGGATCCTTGAGAGACCGACCTCTAAACTAAAGATATTTGAAATTTTCTATTTAAGATGTGAATTTAGTTCCTGATCTTAGGGCAGGCAAGCAGGGTGACCTGGTGCACCTTGTAAACAAAACTACTATTCACAGAGCCAGTATGATTTCATATCTTTAGAAATCATGAAAATGTAGGTGACTGGAGTGTTTGAAAAACTGGTTCTTTTATTTAAAGTTTTAACATTTCCTAGGGTTTTTTGTTTGTTTTTACAAACAGTTCTGTAGTTTCCAGCTCAATTCCTCCTTTCAAAATCAGGGTGTTGTGTTCAGGCTGTTTGTGGAAACTGCTTAAAAAATATGGATAATACGAGAAGAAATGAAAGTCGATTCTCCTTGCTTTGCTTCAACCCTTTCCTACAGGATGATGATTCCAATTCATTTTGTTGTTAGATTTTTTTTTTTTTCTGAACTAACCAGGGGAAAGCAGATAATGAAGAAGCATCACACTTGGGTTTTGAGTTGGAGCAGCATATGGGTGGTGGATTTCCTTTTCTGTTTTAAGAGTCCTGTTCTTGAGATGGCTTTGGCCGGCAACAGAGCCCGGGGCATCCAGAGTTGGGATTGCCAGTGGCTAACACTGAATGCGGTCAGAACCAAAGCAGCACACCGAAGGCAGGAATCTGGCTAGTGTCTTGGACCTCTTCTTTCACCAACCTCTTCTTTCCCCTTTACGCACAAGCTACCCTATGGGCTGATGGGCGAGGCTTTTTTCCATGACTCCTTCAAACAAAGTGTTTCTTTGGATAAGTCTCTACCCCCAGAAACCCAATATGAGGAAAGTCTATAAAAGGCAACAATGCCCTGATTTAGTGGGTTTCTAACCTCTAGTGCCACCCTGTTTCTCCGCAGCTCTCCAAGGGCGTTTTATCCCTGCGATGCGCGAGAACGCGCCTGCGCCTCCGGAACGCTCCCACAGAACCCTGCCTGAGGCTCATTTCTTCAGTCACTGCTTTTATTTTCTTTTATAAAGAGAGACGCTGTGCGTTTTTGTTATTTGTTTTTTTTTTTTTTTTTTTTTGGCGAGAGAAATCATGCCCTTCAGCAAGCGGGGTGGGGGGGAAGCCTCTTAATCAGGGGAACTTTCTCATAATGTGACAGTGCTCTTTCGAGGCGGCCTCTCCACACCCCTTGGGTTCTGGAGTGCGGCAAATTTTCATTAGGGCCTTGGGTCCCTCGAATATTGGCTAATAACCTGGTAAAATTATCCAAATACCAGCTCTGTACCTTGGTTTCCTTATACGTAAGGTGGAGGCAAATATTGTATTACTTCACGGAGTAGCTGTGTGATTTAAACCAAGGAATACAAAAGGGCGAGATTCAGTATCTAGAAAATAGTTATCCCTTCGCAATTATTAGCTTTTGTTTTATGACCATTATCACCATTTTCGGAAGCAATTATAGGGATGCTGCTGTGGAGTTTGTTTTGCTCTCACCTGCCCAGGAGCTCCTCTCCTTTCGCAAAACCTCGCACACACCGCGATTGGTCTGATCTTCATTTATATATCCACAAATCTTTGCTAGAGCATGTCCTATTTAAAGCCCTTCCTCGTAAATAAGTTCCTTTGGTTTCCCACAGAAACTTGCTGCCCAGTTGGTGGAGATGCTGAGATTTGTGAGCCAAGGAGTTGTGGGGAGGGGGGCCCTACCTAACCAGAGGCGCTCTGCAAGGCTGGAGTCCCAATCTCAAGCCGTGCACTGGAGGTGTGTCTTCTGTGCGCGGGCTCCAGGGTTAGCCAAGGAAGAAGAGGTGCAGGCCCCCCAGAGCTGTTTCTTGGACTGCTGATGGAGCGGGTGCTGACGTTTCAAGCGTGCATACTCCAATCGCCCGGTGCTCGGCGAGAGATCACCCGAGCTTTTCCGAAAGCGGATCAAGGCGGCGCTCCGGTTCTAAGGCTCACCGCTCTGTTTGGATCCAGCCCTCCTTACCTATGCTTGGCCTTGATTAAATCACTTCACTCCCCTATGCTTCGTCATTGGAATGGGTTATAATGAGGATGAAATGAAATGACATATTTGAAGAGCTTAGGCGGGGCTTGGCGCAAATTTTCCTGTACACGTGGTGGGATTGGAGGAGATGAGGTGCTGTTGTTACCAGTAGAGACTGGCCTGCCAGGGAGGCCAGCCGAGAGCAAAGCCCAGTGGCCAGACAGGCTTCCAAGATAGTATGAACTCGGGCTCCACCGGAGCAGTGGAAGCGGGGCGAGAACTCGGTCCCTACTCCTCATCGGTGGGACAAGACTCGACCTCAGCGGTTCTAGATGAGGCCCCACAGGACCACCCGCATGCGGCTGGACGTGTGTACCTGGAATTCTGAGCCAACAGGCCAGGGGTCTTGAACTTTGAACCTCCGAGAGGCCAAGATGCTCCCAGCTCCCATCCTGAGTCCACACCACGCTCCCGGGTCTCCCGAGTGAGGCGACATTGAGAAAAACAAACACCAACCAACTGGAAAGACTTCTTTCCGAAAATGAAGTGATCTTCTCCAGGTCCCAGAACCCCAGGGGTGATTGCGGTACCTGCCACCCCTGAGGCTCTGTCGGCAACCTCTGCTGGTCAGGTTCAGAGTGCTGCTTTCATATAAAGAACAGATACCTCCTTGGAAAGCTCCAGGGGTGGAGCGAAGGGCCGAGGCGGAGAAGAGCGCGGCTCCCCTGGGGATGCTCAGTCCCCGGCTCCGGTGAGCGCCCGCAGGGCGTCGAGCCCCGGAACCCCGCGGACATCCTTACTATGCTCCCTGCGCCCAGAATTCCAAGAGGGCCTAAACTTGAACTTCCACGCCTCGCCATTCCCCGGAAAGTCTCGGGAACAGAACCACAAGCCCCGTCATTTCTCGGGGCGAAGTACGTTCGCGGTCCAGCGATCTGGGTGCGGATGCGCGCCCAGGCGGGGCCAAGGCTCCTGGTGCGCGCCCCCTGCAGCATCGTACTCCTGGCTCTTTTAAAGCTGCCGAACCCTGGAAAATTCAGCTGAGGTTCCTCACCGCACACACCGTTAAGCAGCAGCAGCTAAAATTGAGAACCCGGATTGAAAACTCCAGAGAGCTCCCTACGATGCAGGCGGAGACAGGAGAGGGACTGACCGCTTGTGAGTTTCCGCATGTCGGTTCTGTCCCCAGCCCTTGTTGGAGACTCCTAGTGTGGGATCACATAGTGCCAAAAATAGTGTATGAGAAACAAATAAAACACTCCTTTTCTTCTGTGATATATTTCTTCCTGTAGATTAGCTATCGGTTACTGAAAGTTCTCATTTTAGCTAAATCCATACCATACTGTAATAATATCTGGGAGTTGGCGGCGATTTCAGGTCCTACCTATTGTTTTAACAGTGTTGATGTCTGTGATCCACTTGTACTCTTGACTCCAGAATTGGAGCCTGAACACATTTAGCAATAATTCCTGGGCTCTTGCTCTGTACCGAACAGGACTGGAATCCTTCCTGTGGTGCCTCACAAATTTAAGAAATCGGATCACCTCCTCCGTAAGAGTCATCACAGCTGTGGAGGTTAAATTTATTATTGGTTAATTGAGCAGTCATTCGGGTTCTCCAAATGTCTTTTGAAGAACAGGCTGCTTCATTTTCCCAAATTAACTTGACCCCCCCTTTGTCTAGTGTTGTGCCCGGGATATGTTCTCCCTCAATTCAATTTGTTCGATGCATTTAAGACTGAAATGTAAGCATTGCCCTGTCCTTTCAAGTAGGTGAAATCTACTTATTCTTATATTTCTATCATCCCCACCATCGATAAATCTCTCTGATCCTGGTGTGTGTGTGTGTGTGTGTGTGTGTGTGTGTGTACCTATGTACATGTGATTTGTGTCTGAGGGTGAATCTCTCCATCTTTGTGTGTCTAAGTATGCCTGCATGGCCCATATGTGTTTGTGTGCATTTGTGTTTAGGGTGTCTTAGGTGGGTTGTCATGGTGACAATGATCAGGTGTATTTGGGGATCAGAGATGCCTCCTTATATACATTTTTTTTCCTCTTAGTGCTGGGGATCAAATCCAGTGCTCTGCCACCAAGTACACCCTCCACCCCCATCATATATTCTTTTTTCCACCGGGCTTCTCCCAAGCATCTTTCTGATTATGATAACTGTCTGCTCTCAACTCTTTTATTGGAACAATGTATGAAGGCAGGAAAAGCTGTCTTTAGAGGGACACCAGATTGAAACTTGGTAAAAGATGATAGATTGCTAAAACACTACCACAAGGAATTCTAAAATCTTTCCTAAGAAAACTTTAGTTACCAATAAGGTATTTCAAGACTTCAACAGCTTCACCTACACAACCTCCTAAAAATGAAGCAGTTAGAAGAGGGAGATTCACAGTTCACACTGAATCAACTTTTACTCAAGCCCAACTCTAGCAAGGCACATGTTGAGGCAATAAACCTAATAGGAAATTGAGGCAGGGCAACAAAAAGCAAAGAAACCGAAAATGATGCAGCCTCTCTTTCTGGACAGCTCCAATAGTGGGAAGAGGTCAACAGGAAACTGGGTAGAAAGGGGAGGTCAAGCTCTACAAACAGTGGCTCTGAATAACTTTCAAGAGTGAAAGTAGCTGGCTGATTTAGGTTTCCCAGGTGTTTGGGTTATCTAGTGACAGATAAACAGTCAATGCCAGATTCCTATAATAAAGTTATATTTACATATCTATAAGATGGAATGGGTATGATAAAACTCTTATTCTCTCCCCCCACTCTTTCTCTCCCCTCTCTCCCCCAACCCCCTCCCTTAAAATTTTCTCAGGTTAGGGGTGTAGCCATTGATAGAATCCAGCACACCCAAAGCCCTGGGTTGAGTCAACAACACAGCATATCTATCTCAATCTCCCCCATACTTTTTCCTCTCTCCAAATAAGATATGGTTTTTGAAAGCATAGAAAGCTTTACTTTAAGCAATTTTTGTGGGGGGGGGCGCACTGGGGATTGAACCCAGGGCCTTGTGCATGTGAGGCAAGCACTCTACCAAATGAGTTATATGCCCAGCCCTAAGCAATGTTTTATAATTCAACTTCAAGTTGAAATGCCTGGAGTCCTTCCATAAACACAGAGCATGAGGACACCTTAAATATATACCATACCATCAAAATGCATTCAAATGCCTTCAGAATTCCTGACTGCACTATAGAATACACTGACTTTTAACTTCTTGTCATAATCACATGTATACAAAGAATAACCATATTTTGTTGTAATTTATATCATTTGAATAAGGTTTTTTTCCTGAATTGTCAAAATTTTCCTGATTTTAATGGTATGAAATTTTGAAAAATCCTATCTCCTATTTTTACATGCTGTAAAAATTCAGAAGTTTCACACCTCTAGATATGTCTAGAAATGCTGCCAATTTAAAAATGATATATTAGCTGGAACTATTTCCACTTCAGTAGCTCTCAAAGTCCAATAAAATGTCCAAAATAAATCTCTAAAAATTGAAATACTGCATTATTGGATTTGTTGCAATAAATGCATGCACACTTTGATTTTAATTTTGAAAGACGTGATCATAAGTAGAATAGAGCAGATTATTTCTCCTTTGCATGAGTGTGTCTTTCCACAGAGGCGGAGGAAATAAGTGTTAAATAAGGCACAAACCATAATTTATGCTACCTTTTGTCTTGCAACCCAGTGGAAGAGAAAGAGACAGACCCTAGCTATCTATAGTAATTAAATATTGGATTGAGAATATAACTTAATGATAGAGCCCAGGAAAGAAGGAAGGAACGGAAAAGAAAGAGAAAAAGGAAAGAGGAAGAGAAAGGGAGGAAAGAAGGAAGGGAGGTTGTATCTCACCACTCTGGGTAGGGATTACCTTCTGGTGTCCTATTTACTGTCCTTCTGAACTAGGATGAATAACTTAATCCCTTTGAGCCTATCTACTCCCCTGGAATTAAGGATAATCCCATCTCATGTGATTGTTGTGAGGATTGAAAAA